ACACCCGCTATTCTTTGGGTGGGTGGGTGGAGGTTATTCTTCTAAATGGTCATGATCATGTACCATGTACCATGTACCATGTATATAAATTCTTGACCTTTTTTTTTCCATTTCGGTCACGAAAATCTTCCCAAAAAAGAGTGATTGAACTTAAGAACTTACCAATACTCACCAATTGGGTGAAGGTATTTTGTCCCGTGACTTCACCGAAAAGGAATAACAATAGGATAAAATCTATACTATGATAATAAACTTAGGTTTATTCTCGCGCAAATTTTTATTATCACCTTTTATTATCATCATCATTGTCATCATCGTCATCAAATCAAAATCTGATAGCTCTCACCCATAAGACGTTTTTGTTTTTTTTAGTTTCCGTAAGCCAGGTATCAATCATATCAGGATTAGGGATATAACAAATGTCTTGAGGATTGCCACCTTCACCCCCAAAAGGTTTTTCTAAAGCTTTATATTCAGCGATAAGTTCAGTACGATATCTATAAACTGCTGTCCGACTGTTTTTGTTTGCTGGTTCAAATGCATCACTATAGAATTAAGAGAATCAAGAGAAATAAAATTATACAACTTTAGAGAACATTTATAATCCATAATTTACACAATTTATAATTTATAGTAATATAGATAATATACTTCATAAATGCAATCAACATATTTTGAAAAATTAACACCAATATTATACTTCCTAGTACACTCATTACATCTACAGCATAACTATTCCATTGGTCTAATTGATCCCATCGTCCATTGGTCCAAAAGAATACAGCTTCTACTGATGAGACGAAATGTGAATAATAATTATCAAGTCGAGAAAATTTATTAATATTCTTATAAATTGTTATATTTGAGTATAAGTCTGAATTCGAAGCATCTTTAATTTTATAAGTAGGAATTTGGAAGTAATCCGCATAATTAAGAAGAATGAACCTGAGATGATAGTAATAACAAATATAATAAAATGAAATAAACTAAATTATTGATATTTAAAAATAATGAAAACAAAAATTCATTAATTATTATATTACATAGCGTGACCAAATGCAACTACGACAATAAACAGGGCTGCCAAGAATGGCCAAGTAATATTTAAAATAGTTTGAATGATATGAATAAAACGTCCTGGACCTTCAAAATATCTTGATAGAATTAACTAAAAATAAAATAATATTAATAGAATAGAGAATAAATAAAAATTATAAAATAATAACATAATAATATTATTACTTCATCCAAAAAGAAGACAAAAAAATACCTACCAATTGAAGCCACATAACTAAAGCTGTAAACGCTAAAACAAAATCATATACTGAATCCTGTAAAATGGATAATTGATGATTATATAAAATACTTGCTATATTTGCTAACGGCAATAACAATGATTCTAGGTCAAGCATATTATGAGTATTCAATCCTTCTCTTTTTAATTGCACAATTTCTGTAACAATTAAATACCATCCAGTATAAAGATATAGAAAAAGGCTAATTTTTAATATTATATCTGATTCTATTTTAAATAAATAAGTTATTTTTGATGAATATGAACAAAGTGTCATTACAAACGAAATAACATATAATAAATACAAAATGATATGACGAATAAAATATTGACGGGCAGCTGGCCATTTAAAATTTAAAGACTGCCATAATTTTAGGTGTTTGATAGATTGCATCACCTTTCTCATTCTCTTCATGAATAACGCGAAGGAAAGGACTCATTTTCTTAGTATTATTGATAACTTTTCTGCGTGGCCATAACGATATTCGAAAAAGAGTTGAATTTATACACCGACAAGATGCAAGGTGATTAGATACACCTATTCTCTGAATAGTTGAGAAGTGGGTTTTATTGTTCGTGTGTGAAAACATTAATAAAATATGATTTTATTTAAGTAATTATTCATGGTTTTATATTATATTATTTAAAAAAATAATTCTACCCCAATATACCAAAGAAATACCATTGGTATGCACGGAATGCATTCAAGCCCTTTGAAAAATAAATATTCATTACATTATAAGTATGTCATAGAAAATACATAAGTGAATATTGAATTAATGCACCGAAATGATGAGGTGATATAGATACACATATTCTCAGAATTGTTGAAAATGGTATTTCATCGTTTCGTCGTGAAAAGCTGTAAAACGTAATTTTATTTAAGTAATTATAATCTCAATTCTAATTGTTGAATATTGGCTTTCTTATAATGAATATAAAAAGTTTTTGTTGAATAAAAAACCATATTAAAATAAAATTTACACATACCAAAAATGCCATTGTATGCACGAAAATATTTATGCGCATCTCTTTTTCAGAAATTTGTACATTATATTTTCATAGAATATGAGATTCATATACATTACATTTTCATAGAACATGAACTTTATATTTATTCAAAAAGATGCAACTCAAGATGAATTGTTGAAAATGGGACGTGAAAAAACATGTAATTTTATTTACTTAAAATAGATTACAAAAAAAATCATATTCTCTAAAAAACAATAGCATATTAAATTATAAATTAATTATTAAGTTAGAAAAGGGGCTCCCAATGAATTTGCCATGATTAGGTTCAAGTATTTTTTTTTTTTTTTAATATCTATAAACAAAACAAAACTATTCATTATAATGGAAGTGCAAATTAAGTTATTTAAATTTATAAATTTTATAAATTGTTACAAAATTTATTTCACATGAAATTAGCCTTGTGATTTAAAACTAAATCAAAGAGCTAGTTTTTGATTTTACCTGAGAAAACTTTATTACTTTCATTAAAAATTTTCTGCCATTTTTTGTAACATGAAAATTCAAGGGAAATAAATTAACATACAGTTGGTTGCTTCGTCTAGGCTCTGGTATATGGACCAACGATATCAAAAACGCCATTGAACGTTTATACACCAACTCAAAGGTGCATATTCTCTGAAATGTTTTTGTTTCTCACGTAAAACATTAAGTAATTTCTGGTTTTTATATTATGTTATTTAAAAAAAAAAAAAATACTTCGACCCTTTCATACTAAAAATGACATTTATATGTACAGAAAAATATTTATTCATTATTTCTTTTTTTCATACACCGAAAAGATACAGCTCAGGTGAAATAGATGCATCTATTCCCTGAATAGTCGAAAATGTGTTCATTGTTTCGCGCGTGAAAAATTAAGAAAATATAATTTTATTCAAGTATTATTTCAGTTTTTATTTTTTTTTAAAAAAAATACTTCTACCATTACACTATGAATTTCAATAGTATGCACAGAATTCATTCAAGCCCTATGAAAAATTTTTATTTCTTTTTTCTGAAATTTATGCATTATGTTTCATAGAACATTGAATTTATACACCGAAAAGATGCAGCTCAAGGTGATATAGAAGTACCTATTCTCTAATGTTTAAATTGTTTAGTGCGTGAAACATTAATAAAAGCAGTAAAATATTTTATTTTATTTAAGTAATTATAATTCTCAATTCCAATTGACAAATTAAAAAGTTCTTGCTCAATAATAGGATATTTATATTTATTATCAAGTTTAATTTTTTTTTTTTTAATAACCCCTCTTTATTCAATATTATTAAGTTTTTTTTTAAAAAAAAAATATATATTAAATTAAATATTTCTATATAACAACTTTATCTGATCTCCGCTTCTTAGAAAAATAGAACACATTAATGACGGATAAAATCAATTCATCATTTCTAATACAATAAATTTACCTAACGTAATTTCTCATCTCATCCCTCATGCTTGCAAGAAACTTTTATAAAGAATTTACAACATATATTCGGATACACAAACATGAAAATAAATCTTATTTGTATGAAATTTGATTAATAAAAATAGCAAACAAAACTTTTTTTTTTTAAGTTTCAGTATCACAACATATTATGTATGACACAATCTATCCTACTGTTAAAAGATTATCTTTGAACGCATGCGTGCTCCTACTATAAATAACAAACAAGTATCATGGCAAGGATAATGAAGAACACTATCCATCTTTCACAAATCCTGATATTAATTGGCTGAGATAAGATGACATTAAAGAAGGAACATGATAGATATTGGTTGAATTTATTGAAAAAGAAATCTTGAATGAAGAGATTTAACCATTAATATGATGATATGTTCATTATTTCCCATAGTACTGTACATAGATATATTCACACATTTTATTTCGCAGGGAAATAATCCTTTAATTTTATTCTAGTTCTAGTTTTATTTTAATAGTTAGTTTTAATAATTATGAAAAACCTATTAGATCTAACGATGGATTTACAGTTGTTGTTAACCACATTTGATGATCAAATACACATAGAATTTCAAATAAAAATAAAATAAAAGTCATTCTCCTGCTCTATAAAGTACAGTACAGTGGGAGTGGTTTTAAACATTTTGTTATGAAAAATAAGTACATATATGTAGTAATAAAAAAAAAAGGGTAATATGTAAATCAGTGAATAAGTATCATATGATATTAATGGACTTTAATAAGGTTCCTATATGTACAGTAGATCTCTTTCTGTTTTTCATGAATCACGAATTAATTTTTCTGATCCCATCCGGTCTCGATAAAAAAAAAAGACTATGATCTGAAGTAAATTCCGACATTAACATTTTCAGGAACATTATTCTCTACATAATAATCATTTAAGCCATTTGTTCTTGGTTTATCCTGTTGGTGTTTATAAAAATTTTGTAAAATATTATATGACTTTCAATATGGGTGAATATGTAGGATTACCATGGTATTATTATTATTTTTACACATTATTATAAAAAATATATACATATACAAAATACTTTATTTGGAGATTTTTTTTAAGAAATGAATTTGCTTATGTAGCCCTGCTTTTTGTATTTGCTTATTCAAGTAGGACATCCGGATTTGGGTTATTGATCTTCAAAATTGAATCAATCTGTTATTGTTATAAAATGCTTGCAAATATAATTTAACATTGTGGCTGTTGACAATATTTTTTTTTATATTTTAAGAGAAGAATTGGACGGAGAAACGATAGAATTAGGCTGTTTGAAATACTTTTTTTTTAGATTTAAAGAAAGGGAAGAAATGGAAAAAGTTAAAGAAATCGAAAAAATTGAAGAAAACGAAGAAATGAAAGAAACAAGAAAAACGGAAGAAACAAAAGAAACTGGAGAGACAGAAGAATTGGAAGAGTAGGCATATTGTTATAGTTATATTAAACTTTATTTTAAAGCCACATTTATTGCTAATAATAATTTACATATATTAAATTATATTACTAATCAATTATAAACTAATCAAATATTACAGCTTGTGAGTATTGAGATTCATAAATCAATGTTTCAATTAAATTCAATTATGATATAATAATTCTCTAATCTATTATAAACTAATCAATATAAATTATATTACAGCTTGTGAGAATTTAGATTCATAATTATTGAAATCAATATTCAATATCATATAACAATTCTCTAATCGATATAAATTATATTACAGCGAGTGAGTATTTAGATTCATAATTATCTCAATCAATATTTCAATTTAATTCAATATCATATAACAATTCTCTAATCAATTACAAACTAATCAATATAAATTATATTACAGCAAGTGAGTATTTAGATTAATAATTATTGAAATCATTGTTTCAATATCAAATAAAATTCTTTAATTAATTATTAATAATATTTTTTTAGAAAGTTTAGTGAGTGCCATCAAAATAATACTGGATACAATTCATGCCATCTGTGTAATGCTAAAAGGTTTCAAAATGAATTTGATAAATGGTCAAGTGAATATAAAGAAATTGACAAATTTATTCAACAAATATAAATAAAGACAAATAAAAGTCGAGAAATTATTGAGTGGATCCCATTTGATAGGCTAAAAGAACTTAAGATTGAAATGCAATCCACGACAAGAAATGGAAATGTGTTTTCATTTATTGATATAGTTTTTAGTCTCTTACCAAACTCCTTAATAGAAGTAATATATTCTATAGTTGGTAACTAAGAAGGAACAAGTAAAATAATTAGAAATTTGATGGAAAAATTTAAACAATATATAAGAACAAATATATAGGTGAGATGCTGTAACGAGATAAAAAGGTGGGAGTTAGAAAATGGCATACGAAATAAAAATAAACGTAAAGTTTTAATCTTGTTAAATAATAATCAGGTCACAAATATAAACATTAACAATAATAATAGTAATATTAATGATAATAATACTAATACAGATATAGAAAAAATAGTAAAAATATAGTTAAAAATATATATAATAATATAGTTAGCTAATTTTTTTATAAATTTATTAAGGAAAAGATCAAATGAACAGAAATATATAATATAGGTTGTTTAGCAAGGTCTTAATATGCTGAGGACAAGTTTACTTGTCAGATGGTAAGTTGCGGGCCCGTCTCTCATAAGTTAGTCCAAATCTCATCTTTTCTAATAAATATTAGAATAAGTTGTGTATTTTGTATTATTTTATCTTATATAATATAAAAAACTTTTTCTTTTTCTAATTAATAAATTTGAGGCAAGACCTTGCTGGAATAAAAAAAAAAAAAAAAATATGTATTACAGCAGATCAATTTAATAGTCTGTAGTACAAATTAGATATTATTACTTAAATTAGTAAATTCTTAAATTCTTGTTAATCTG